TGAAGGGGAAGAAACTGGAAACTGTTCCCACAGTGACTGTTGAATCAAGGCCCATTTGCATGGCTTCTGTGGAGAAGGGTCTATTTAGAGCCTGAGCACATGTTTTGACTGGGTTCTTCGTTCCCTTTTTACTGAACTCTATGAGCTCTTTGTAGATCTTGGATGTTAGGTCTTTGTCGGATGTCTGATGTGCAAATACTTTCTCCCATTCAATAGGTGTCTTTCTGTTTTCATCATAGTTTCCTTCCCAGTACAGACGCTTCTTAGTGTCACAGAATCCCCTTTGTTTACTTTTGCTTTTACTTTCCTCCGAGTCCCCAAAGACACCCCTGAAGCCAATGTTGAGGAGTGTTTTGCTTCTGTTCTCTTCTATGTTTGTAATGGATTCTAGTCTTGTATCCAAGTCTTTCATCCACTTGGAGTTGATGCGTGTCGCTGGTATGAGAACGGGGTCTAGTTTCATTTCATTTTTCTACATGCGGCTGACTGGTTTTCCCAGACTTCCCCTGCACCACTGTAAGCTCTTAGCTCTTTTCTCAATGCGACCTTCTAAAGGGGCCTTGTCCTTTTATTTAGAACTGTAAGCCTGGGCCTCACCCTTGACATACAATCTCCTCACTTACTTTCTGTCCTCCTTTGCTAGGGCTAAAAACGCCACGAGGGCAGGGGTTTTTCATCATTGTTTCAGTGCAGCATCTAGCAGAGTGCTTGGCAAATAGCAGGTGCTTGCTGTTGAGTCAATAAATAATTACTTATAGGACCAAACAAGACTTCCTGAGTAGTCGGAGTGACTTCAAATTAAACTGACAAGACGTTAACACAACACAGAGAAAGCATGAAGATCAGGAGTACGCCAGACCTTAGACAGAGAAGCAGGGAAGCTAAGAAAAACACCGCTCTCGCAGCATTTTTTTTAATTACGAATGCTCCAACATTCTCAGCTGCCATCCCAGTCTATCTCTGCATCACCTCAGAGATAAGGTAGGGAATAGAGGGTGACTTGTGTCAAAGAATTAAGGACAAATTTATGGGGACAAATTTTCATCATTAAACGTGTTCAGCTTTTCCCCAGTCGAAGACAAGAGCAGGAAATCTCAAGTTCAAGCAAACCAAGCCACGCCCTGCTCCCTAAGTTGTCCCTGGGAAGGAACCAGGGGCTGAACTCTCTTCCTTGCTCTCCATCGCCTGTCACAGGAGACCTGGGATCACACTGTGGGTCTGTAACAGCTACTTAAAATTCTTAAGATTATTTTTCTTTCATAGACAAAGTCACAGAAAAAAAAGTTTCTTCCCCCCAAAAAAGATAATAACCAATAGCTACTGTTCAAGAGATTTTTTAAGGTGTTTTAGTCAACAAGGTATGGACCATATTAAACAATGGGTTTTTAATACCTTCTCTGCTAAAATTTAGTTGAGTTTTTGCTTTGTTTTGTTTCCCAATCTCAAAGCCATTGTCAGCAAGGCCAGAAGTGGGAAATGAAATACTTGGCCTATTTACACATGCTTCCCTGAAGCCATTCCTGATTAAAAATTGTACCATTTCAATCTTCCTACTGGAGATAGCTATTAACTGGAACAGCTTGTCAAGCCAATGAATTTAGTGTATAACTACCCGTGTTCTATACAAATTACTTCTCAACGGCCTCTACTCAAGGAAATAAACCGATGCAGGCTGCTTGGTTCCAATCCACATGAAGAGTTCCCTGGGAAAAGGTTCTGAGAGCCAAGTCCTGAGCAATACTCAGCACAATTTCATTTCAGCAGGGAGCACTCACTTCTGTTTCTGAAGACCCCTGCATTTACCTGAACCTCTCCGATGGCATGAAAAAGTCTCTTATCTCTGAAATAACAATATAACCCTGGACAAGTCACTTCCATTCTCTCCACCTCTGTGTTTTCATCTGTAAAAGGAGAGGCTCGGGCCCTCCCTGGTGGCGCAGCGGGTTAAAGCACTGCACTAAGAAGCTTAAGCCACTTCCGCATGAGTTCGATCCCCGCCTGCCCCGGAGGTGACCACATGGCGCAGCAAACCTCTCCTGACCCGCCCGCTGCTCCCCTCAGCAGTGTACTTCGTCGATCTGCCAGTTCTGAGCCCCACTCTGTCTCTGGTGAAGCCTCTCACCCTCCACATCTCTGGCCTGTACCCCAGTTCTGCACGAATAAATAAATAAAATCTGAAAAAAAAAAAAAAAGGAGATGCTCAATCACACGTGACAAGGGCCCTCGATTCGCCTCTGCAGCACCTGGACTGTCTAGATACCCTAGCTGAGTTTCCCTGTGTGTCACAAGGACACAGGAAACAGCACAAGTCTCCACTTTTCACCCCCTCTCCCTCCTTAAGCCCTTCCCAGCCCATCTAGGACTGCACCCCAAATGGCCCTGGTTAAGCCCATCCTCCCTGGTTAAGCCAGAGAAATAACTACCTCTGTGGTCACTTGGAAGAAATGCCCCACCAGAAAGTTCCAAGGCACGTGCTTTGTAAACCATCGGGCCCAACATCACCTGGGCAGCCAGAGACCTAGGGCAAAGCTCCACGCAGAGAACAAACTAAGACGGGCCCTCCCTGGTGGCGCAGCGGGTTGGAGCACTGTACTGCAAAGCTAAGCCAAGCCGCAGCCACTTCAGTGCGAGTTCGATCCCCACCCGGGAGGTGACCTCTCCTGTCGTGCCCGCTGCTCCCCTCAGCAGTGTACTTTGTCGATCTGCCTGTTCTTGCTCTTCACTCTGTTTCTGGTGAATCCTCTCGCTGCCCCTGCATCTCTGTACCCCATTTCTGTATGCCTAAAGAAATAAAATCCTAAAAAAAAAAGAACAAACTAAGCTCATGTACCCCTGTCACCCGACAGCAGAAAGCACCCAGAGACCTGTTAAGGGAGAGCAGTGAGACAGGGAGAAAGGAGACAGGGAGAACGGGATGCTGGCAGGATGAGCGAGGGCTGTCCTCACCTGCGAAGTGAGTATGATGTTAGTGCTGCAAAGATTAGAGCTACAGCATGAAAATGCTTATCCCAGTGGCCTTCACATAGCAGGTGCTTAATGAATGAGAACTCGGGGCGCTGCTGCTCTTCTAGAGGGAATTCTGGGAAGCTCGGGGTTAAGGGAACAAAGGAAGAACACTGCCTTTGCAGAAATGAACTCTGCAGTTCCCTCTGCCAGGTGATCACTACAGCGATAAGCCTTGCATTATATATATTTGTATATGTGAGTAGAGAGTGAGTGAGTGAGTGTGTGTGTGTGTTTTATCAGTCTTCACTACTCCCAGCCACAGAAACTATTCATTAAAAATTTAAATTCCTTTCGAACAGATATTCTAGGTTTCAAAAACCACTTGATCACCCACGCTTTGGGGAGAACAATAGGACTATTAAACTGTAGGGCTGAGGGCAAGTGGGAACACAAAGACATCTCTGTGGCGATTTGAGCTATCACATACCACTGCCTCAGTTTCACAGAGTTGTCTCCTTAAGAAAGAAACTAACAAACTTCATTGTTCTTTCACATCAGAGTCCTTGGATATGATAGTTCTTAAATCCCTGGCAGCGACTTATTAAAGATCAGAGGATCTCAGCCTTTTCCATCAGGACAGCATCAAATCCCCTTCCAGCAATTTTCTTAGGTCGGCATCATTATTTGAGATGCCAGGGAAGCGGGTGAAATAGCCAACCACTACACTAGTTCCTTGTTTCAGGCTGAAAGCATAAAGGTAAAGTTGGAAAATATATTTGCTGTCCCGAAGGCATGCTTGAGACTGGGGGAGGGTAAGGAACGCCAAGAGCACCCTAAGAGTGTCTTGTCTGAGTCCCTTTTCCGAGACAGTCATCTGAGTAAACAAACAACATCCAGCTTAAAAGCCAGAGCCTTCACCAAACACTACACCTTGGAAGTTCTAGTGCCTTCCCTGATGGGTCCTCTAGAATTCTGGTTTATGAAGCAGCTTCCAACAGACAAGCAGAGGAGGCAAACAGGCAGAAGAATCAATACTTTGTCAAGCATTCCAGTGGCAAATGATGGACGGAAAGCCAGCAGCCGGCACCTGCCCTCTCTGTCTGTGGGATCCCCTGTCCTCTCTGTCTGTGGGACCCCCTCTTCATGGTCCTCAGGTCCAGTGGAGCCACGAACTGACTGCAGGAGGCTGCAAAAGGAGGAGGCCTAGGACCTCTTTCCAAGTGGACTGGTGTCCGAATCTGCAGGGACGACTTCATCGCAGCCACCCTATAGGTCTAACGCTGCAAAATTGATGGGGGGATTGGCTGGGGGGCTGGAGGTGGAGGGGTGTTGGAGAGGTTCCTGAAAATAGACAACTGTCTGCTTACAAAACCCAACTCAACTGCTTCTGGCAAGGAAGGACAGTAGTCAATAGTGTATGAAGCCAAGAACAAGTCCGTATTTGACAAATCACTCCCATCAAGACACTGATGTCAACCATAATAAAATATTTTGGCAAGACTGGAAATGTGCACCTGTGGGAACCTGGAAAGGTTTGACAGATTTTTGTTTTCCGGGCCCTTTATCAGCAAGTTAATTATAGCAACTGTGCAACCCACTCTGAGTGCAGAGAAAGGCAGTAGGCTGTACGAAACCCAGACGCGGCTCCCCTGGGCGTGGGAAAGACGGCAGGACAGCAGCTCTTCCGCCCGAAATTACGCCGACTTCAGCGTAGCGGTGAGCACAACAGCTCGGCAAGGTGAGAAGGAGCCGTGCTCTGCAGATGTGCGAGTGCCCACGGCTGAAAGAAGACCCATCACACCTCTGTGCGCACACACGCACACACATGCAAGCACACATGCATAAGCTCGCGTGCGCACACACACCGCACATGTGTGCACAAGACCGACCGTGTGGCGTGCACAAGACCATGTGGCGTGCACATGGCATGCACCCCCTGCACACAGCTGCACAGACACACAGGCACACGTGTGCACAATCATGACACACGCACAGATCCCTGAGCTCCCAGCATGGCAGGCACGTGGCACCCAGAGCCGGTGTTCACGCGGTACCTTCGCGGCTGTAACTGTAGACCGCCACGGCAGACCTGTCCACCAGGTTTTCGTCGTGATGCCAGCTCACAGCCATCTTCCCCATGCCAAAGTAAGGCTCCTCTTTCAGGTATGGCATCTTCTGGGGATCCATGAAATTTAGCAAGGTCATGTTGTACGCGGCTCTGGTGTTCAGCTCCACTTCGTCCGGCCCGTCATACCCCAAGCCAACCCTAGGGAAATCGGGACCTATACACACAGGCACGGCGTCGATGTTATCCCTGTCTTTCGCGGCGAGTTCTTCCAAAGCCTGCAGGGTCTCTATCTGCAGGTATTCGTTGAGCTTCAGGAAGGTCTGACAGGCAGTGGCTATTTCGGCCTCGTTGTATGTCACAGTCACACCTTTCTCCGGCCAGGGCACCGTGAAGAGCCTGGTGTTCAGGTACTTGTAGGTGCAGCCTGGGTTCCCAATCAGGAGGCGAGACACCGGGGTGAGCAGGTCTTTGCCCTGGACCCTGACCAGGTCCCGGAACAGGCAGCCATGCTTGTGCAAGGTAAGGAAGGCTTCCTGGACCTCTTTGTGAAGCTCCTCGGGAATGCTGCCGGCTTCTCGGAGAATCAACTTGGGGTATTTCAGTTGCCACTAAAAGAAAACCAAAGAAGAAAATAGGTGTTTATAGATGGCGCTGACTGTATTATTTCCAAAACTGTGCTTCTTTGTAGGCTCTGGGGGAAACATAACAACTCTTAGTCGGTATTTCTAAAAGGGGATTCATCTCCATCCAGCCTAAAATAGAAAACCAAATCAAACAGATCCCATCAACTCGCCAATCAAGATTCTCAAGTTCAAGTTCAAACAATTACCAATCGTTACTACAACACAATAATAATAATTTGAGTGTTTGCCTCCTGCTTCCCAGCCCCTCCCCCTCAACCTCTTCCAATACAAGGCCTTCCAGAGAACACACCTTTGCAAAGTACCTGTTTAGCTGTGTCCCTCTGCTGCCCTCCATGGCTTCTGCACACTGACTATTCACTTCTCACAGCGTGCGTGGTAGAGCTATCACTGTAAGTGATAATATGAGCACAGGCGCATGTTTAAAAACTCACCCAAAGTCACAAAGCTGATAAATTATGGAGCTGGAATCTAAACTCAGCCCAGAGCACGAGTTCTCAAACACTAGATCATGCTCAATGCTATGAAGGGACAATCGCCGCTCTTTGGAGCTACCCAAGGACACGAGAGCCAAGGCAATTTTATTCACAACTACAATGCTCGGTGAAGGTTGAAGGAATAAATAAATGAACAAGTGAAAGGATGAATGAGGTACTCCACAGCACACAGAAAGCTGGGTTAATTCTACTGGTGCCACTGGAGGAGAGAACCAGAAGAGAACTCCCGTTACAGGGATTCAATGGCTTAGGATGCCATGAGTCACTGCTGCTGTTTCCTCGGACTGCAAATAAGGATTGGTATTAAATCAAAGTTCCCAGGCCCTCTCTGGTGGTACAGAGGGTTGACGCACAGCATTGTGAAGCTGGCTGTGGCCATTTCAGTGCAAGTTCAAGGTCACCTTCCAGCCCCGGAGGTGACCCACATGGCACGGCAGACCTCTCCTCACCCTCCCGCTGCTGCCCTCAGCAGTGGAGTTTGTGATCTGCCTGTTCTGCTCGCCACTCTGTCTCTGGTGAATCCTCTCACTGCCTCTGCACGTCTGGCTGTACCCCAGTCTGTATGCACAAATAAATAAAACCTTAAAAAAATAATAATCAGAGTTCCCTCTTTTTATAAAATGACACTGACTTTTTTTGGTTTTTTGTTTTTTAAATCATAGCACGGGATTTTACATTTACCCTATACAGCTTCATCTGATAGCTTCCTTCTGCATAGTTCCCCACACCATTTTAACATAGATTCCTTCTGGAGCCTCATTCAATGACTACTGGTGTATTGATGAACCAGGAAAGATCATTTACTGTTCAACATCCTTTCATGCAACATCTCTCTATAAAGCGCCAAACACAGACCAGAGAGAAAGTTCTTGTCCTCGTTGAGCTTTTGCCCAAATCAAGTAAACAAAGGAGGAAAAGCAATTCTACATTGAGTTGAGGCAGAAACAAATCCGTAGAAAATCTGTCACCACAATGAACAAGACTCCAAGGAGCCAGCACCTAAGCCGAGGTCTTCGGGGGGAAGGGCCCGCCATGTGCCGCAGTAGAGAGAGTTTTCCAGGAAGAGGGACCAAAAATTCCAAAGGTGCAGGACAGACGGAAACCAGGCTCTTCTGGAGACATGACCTACAGTTTCAGCGCAGCAAAGGGAACGGCGGATGAAGAGAAAGGCAGAGGTTGGTCACTCAGAGTCTGGAGGTCAGGCAGGATTCGACTCTAAGTGCACCGCAGGACTGGGGTGGGGATCACTGGGTTTATTTTTTTTTTAATTTATTTATTTGTGCATACAGAACTGGGGTACAGGCCAGAGGCTCAGGGGTGGCGAGAGGCTTCACCAGAGACAGAGTGGGGAGCAGAACAGGCAGATCGACGAAGAACACTGCTGAGGGGAGCAGCGGGCGGGTCAGGAGAGGTCTGCCGCGCCATGTGGTCACCTCCGGGGCAGGCAGAGATCGAACTCATGCAGAAGTGGCTTAAGCTTCTTAGTGCTGTGCTTTAACCCGCTGCGCCACCAGGGAAGGCCCACTGGGTTTATATTTTATAAAAATCACCCCATTAAAATATCGGGCATGTCCTTTTGCAGCAACATGGATGGAGCTGGAAGGGATCATGCTTAGTGATATAAAAGGAAACATCCCGGATGGTTTCATTCATAGCAGGAGTATAATGGACCAGAGGGGGGAGGGAGAGATGGGAAATAATAATAATAATGAACAGCTATATACCAGAGACATTTTATGGGGGTGGAGTAGTGGAGCGGAGAATGGAGTAGGGGTGGAGTGGGGGTCAAAAATGAGGGGGGAGTGCACTGGACTATGGTGATGGCACACGGGTGATCTGGTGATGGGAAGCCCACGGGGATGACAACTGAGATGGAAAAAGGCACAGAACGATATAAAAATAAACTATTTATATTATTTTTTAAAAAATACTGATGAAATAAGAGTGACAAAGTCAATCACTTTCAAAAAAGGAAAATATCAGGCATGTGTTGGAAAGAGGCAAATGTGAGAATGGGAAATTCTGATACGCTATTATAGCGTCCAGGAGAAAGGCGATGATGGTGCAGGTTGGAGACACAGATAAACGGACAGGTGAGTGTATGAAAGGCAGAGCAAAGGGACGTGCTGCTGATTAGGGCTGAGGGGCGAGAGCTCCAAGAAATCAGCACAGACACAGACGCAGAGGGTCCCGAAGTCAGTTTCTGCTTGCACAAGAGAACCCATCCAAGGTCAAGCAGGAAGCCGCGGGAGTGTATTCACGCAGGAGCCAGAGAGGGGAGCATGTCACGGCGGCTGGAGTATCAGCTTCAACCAGCAGAGGCCAAGGGAGCTGAGGCCAGAAGTGACCCGCCAGATGTGGCAGCGTGGACGATGACAAGAGCGATGACAATGACAAGAGCAATTTCAGCAGAGTGGCGGGAATCAGCCTGATGGAATGGGGTCATGAGGGAATGAAAGAAGAGGAGTAAGTCTGAGAATCTGTGAGTGATTTTGCTGTCGAGGAGATGAAAACAGAGCTGCTGGGGGCCTTGCTGGTGGCACAAAGCACAGCACTGGGAAGCTGTCCTCAGCCACTGTGGCCTGAGTTCGATCCCCGGCCAGGGAGTGACCCACATGGCACAGTAGACATCTCCTGTCTCCCCGCTGCTCCCCTCAGCAGTGTGTTTCAGTAGATTTGCCTGTTCTGCTCCCCGCTCTGTCTCTGGTGAAGCCTCTCACCCCACACACCTTGGCCTGTTCTCCAGTTCTTGTATGCATAAGTAAATACAATCTTTAAAAGAAGAAGAAGAAGACAGGTCAAGGAGTGATCTTTATCAATAGAAGACAGCAGCATACAGAAGAGTCTGTATACTCCTGGGAGTGGCAGGAAAGGAAGAGATTGATGTCTCAGAAAAGAGAGAGATTAACCACTTGAGTATATACAGTCTCCCCAGTGAGGTTCCCAGGCTCTGGGGGATTTGCACAGCAATCCGCTAGAGCCCCAAGTGTGTGAGGGATCTAGTGGAACTATTTTAATTTTAACCTAAAAAAAAAGAAGTCAAGTTTTACTCAAACAGGTATGTGCATGCATGGGGAGTTCACCTGCATGCACACACACATACTCAACACGAGCACTGTCACAAAGCAGACACGAAGACACAAATGTGGCTGTGTGTGTTCCTATGGGTGGGTGCCACTTACACCCCCTTAAGAAGGCCCGCTGTTCCCCCATCTCCCCAAATGCACATGCAGCGACCCCCACATCGGCAGCTGGAAATGGGTCATGGTGGAGTATCTGCAGCTCAGATATTAAAAGACACTGACACCCAAGGCTGTTGCTCCCCTAATTGGTAAACATGTAATAGAATGCCATTGCAGGCAGTCAAAAATTGTTACTAACTAGAGTACACGATCAAAAGATTTCTGGGTAGGAGAAAAGATGCTCCCTACGTTAGAACAGCTGGATGAAGAAGATAAAAATTCAGATAGGATTCGAAATTTGCTAATAGGTGGCTGACTGGTTTCAGGGGGCATTGGAGGGAGAAAGTGCTTCCATGAAAATGCAACGCGAATCACTAGCTAAGAATGTGTGCAGGTCATCAGGACTGTCCGCCAAGAGACTCTGAACTCTTCCCCATCATCCAGCTTCCTGGCCCCCTCAGGATGCATGAAACATGTGACGATTTCTGCCCAGTGAGAAATGATGTCACCTCCAGTCCGGAGCATTTCAGTGCCAAGCCAGACCCTCCAGAATACCTGTGCCCTCTGGCACAGCAACCAGTTGGTGGTTGCTTAGAACCCTGAGTTACTCCCTTAATGGGTAGCGTCTCTGTGAACCCACAAATAACCTGTAAATTAAAAAAAAGAAGTATTGCTGGGTGAAGCCACTGAGAATTGAGGGTCTCCTGTTGTTACAGTGTGATCTCGCCTATCCTGGCCGACCCACTAAACAAGAAATGGAAGAGATGCCGGAAGTTTAAGGAAAGATATAAGGAAAGTGAATTAGTCAAGTCGGAATATGAGAAAATAAGTTTGCCAGGAAAGCACAGTAGGACAGAGTGGAATACGGCGCTTCCGCTGTGCCAATGTGAGGGGTTTGGCCGTGAGTGTACAGGGTACAGAGCACGGGGTCCTAGCACAGATGCCACACTGCCACTGAGGGCATATACCTTCCATATCGCATTTGGAAAAGAGAAACAGAAGTAGCATTCTCTCTGTTTACACAGCCCAAGAAGAGAGCAATACAATCCAGTGAGAGGCAGAATATTCCAGAATATTCCAGAGCAGGAACTAACCTACTGATTTATCACTAACCTACTGATTCTCTGAGCAAGTGGCTGAGGCCTCCATCCCTGTATTTGAGGCACAGCTAACTAGTATCCGTGATTAAAAAGGAAATTCTTCCAGCCTTTCTAGCAATTTCCAGTGTCCTTTAAATAAATCCTTGGTATAAAATGTTAAGGAAAGGAAAATATTCCCAAGAATGTTG